ATGTCAAGAAAGGTAATTACCTGGAAGGGACCCCAGCATAGTAAAAATACCAGTGTAACAGCATACACTAGCACAGAGGCCTTTTTATCACTGGTGTGATGAAAACCAACACTTTCCCTCCTCTCAGATAAAACCTTGATTATATTTCCACTGCTGAAAACAATGACCAAAACAGGAAGAACAAAGCCCACCACATTTATCACAATCTGATGGGCCAGCTTCCAATAGCTGTCATGGGTGTAATCCAGAACGCAGGATGTGGTCTCATAGTCCTCAAAGAACTTCACCTTTCTGTGAGCTATTGTCGGTGCGCTCAGTAAGACCCCTAATATCCACAGGATGAAGCAGATCACCTTGGCGTAGAGCGTCCGTCTCAGCCAGCTGGCCTTCATGGGCTTCACAAATGCTATATAGCGGTCAATGCTAATCATGACCAGAGTGAAGATGCTGGTGTAGAAATTGATGATGATTAGGGCGTTGACGATTTTGCACAAGGCCTCTCCATATGGCCAGTTGAACTCATTGAGGACATTCATTGCCCAGAAAGGAAGGCTACACAGTAGAATAAAGTCAGCCAGCGCCATGTTGCTCAGATAGATCTCTGCTACAGTCAGTCGATCTTTGTGGGCAAAAAACACCACCAGCACAAAGCTGTTAAAGAGTAGACCTGCCAGGGATATGGTGAAGATGTACGGGGGGACGATGGTGTGGATAAGCTCCCATTCTGCAGTGACTGGAGACAAGCTGCTATTTTCAGTCAACACTGTCGGCACAGTTGTGAGTTCCATTGGCTTCAATGAGTAGGAAAAAATAAATATTCATAAACCTTCAGTACAATGTTATCATTATAGATTAAAGCTAACCATTTAAAATCCATCATGAAAGAAATGTGCTATGTAGGAATTCAAATTTGAAGCTAAACAAGGAACTGAACATAAAACAGGTTATATAAACAATCAACAGGGGGCTAATTTTATGACTTTCTTTTATCCAGTTAAGAAAGTTCAGCTCTGGGGAGGAAGCAAACAGCCCCAGAAAAGCAAGATGATTATTTTTCTGTGTTAAAAAACACTGAAGAGCCTGGAAAAAAATCACAGGTACATCTTCTGTGTTGTGTATTGCATCTTTTCTTCTAATTTAATCAGTGGATGCCTACTTTGAAAAGACTGATTGCCACATTTTATTTTGTTTTTCTTTTAAGCATCAAATACTGAAAAGGAATAGAAAAGTTCTTACCGTATGTTTCAACAAAATGTTCCTCCGATGGTCAAAGTAATAACAGATAACACGTCTGAGACAGGGCTTAACTGTGCTCACAGGCTCCTGGTAAAGTACACAACGAGGCTGCTATGAGTGTTTTGTATATAGTTGCATTCTTCCACAGCACTAGTCCAGGAGTTGAATATATCAAGTTGTTTATCAAAAAGTCAAAATTTGGACGGTGCTCATTTATGAGCAGCAGCTGAAACTGCAGTGGAGTACGGTGGAGTAATGGAGCATGTCTTGGAGAGGAAATGCAGACTTTGGACATTCCAGTTCATAGTGTGTGAAAATACTACTATTATTATCACAGATAGTTAGAAACTAATGAAATATACCAAAGAAAGCATGATTTTATTTAAACTTTAACAATTATTTATGTCATGATACTGTTGGATTTGGACCAAAATGCTGAACACAAAAGACAGGAATAAATAAGAAAAAAAA